CCAAGCAGCACAATAGTATTGTCCCTCTCCTTGGCAGTGGGGTGGGGGTGGGTGGTGGGTGGGTGGTAATAAACAAGGCAAACATAGAATTTTGGGCACCCTGGAGACTCTTTTCTAGTGTGACTGTTCTACAACCCATGCCCCTGGTTTACAACTCAGCCACTCCTGACAGGTGCTGGCCGGTGACTGTAAGGCAACCCGATAGCACACAAATCAGTGGAGAAGGTGGGGTATGTTCAAGAGGCGACATTGGCTCACTTTCGCTGTTTCAGTTTCCCTCAGCTCCTAGCAGAGAACTGGGGGCTCATGGGGGCTAGTGCCCCCCACACTCTTCTATAGAGTACATGTGTTAAGAAAGTTATGATGAGGCCCACAATAGTCTTATCTTTGTGGGCTTCTCTGTGGGTTCAACTCCCTATGGCTGCTGTCCTGGGTAGGCTTAGGCATTGTCTTTAGGTGACACTGATGTATCTACTCTGGTCTTCCAACTACTTTTACTGCTGTGGGCATTGTCAGGATCACTGTGTAGGATCTTTTCTACTGCTGCTCCAAGGCACTGATACTATGACGACGGATGAGGACCAGGTCCCCTGGCTGGAATTGGTGTTGGGGGATGTGTGGGGAGGGCCGTGGGCAGCTTTCACCAATGACTAGATCTCAGTCTGTCCTTGCTGGAGTACCTGAAGGGACTTAATCATTTCAAGGTTCTTTAATTCTGCAAGGTTTTCAGACCGCAGGACTGGCAGAATGGGAGGGTCCTGCCAAACAGGATTTCAAAAAGAGTGAATCCTGCCCAATAGGGGGTGCACTTAGCCTGAAGAAGGGCAAGAGGAAGGAGCCTCACCCACTCTTTGCCAGTCTCAAGAGTTAACTTGGTTAAAGTTTCCTTAATAGTCCTATTCATCCTCTCTACCTGTCCTGAACTTTGTAGGCACAATGCAATTTCCAATCTATCCCTAGGGTTTGGGCCACCAATTTAGAAAGAGAGACAGTGAAGGCTGGACCATTGTTGGACCCCACCGTCAAAGGAAGGATTTTGTGTTTTATTGACTATGCAAAGTCATTCAACTGTGTAGATCATAACAAACTATGGATACCACTGAGAAGTATGGGAATACCAGAACACTTAATTGTGGTCCTGAAGGACCTGTACATAGGCCAAGAGGCAGCAATTTAAACAAAACAAGGAGACACTGCCTAGTGTAACATCAGGAGAGGTGTGAGTCAGGGTTATATACTTACTCAAGCTGTATGCTGAGCAAATAATCCAAAAAACTGGATTGTATAAGGAAGAACATTATAATAGGACTGAAGGAAGGCTCATTAACAACCTGCAATATGCAGATGATACAATCTTACTTGTTGAAAGCGAAGATGACTTGAAATTCTTACAGATGAAGAGCAAAGACCAGAGACTTCAGTATGGATTGTACTTCAATGTAGAGAAAACGAAAATCCTCACAACTGGACAAATAAATAACATTATGATGAATAATGTTGATGAATACATACCATTGTATTTAAATTTTTATACTTAAAAAAAATCAACTTTTAAATTGAAGGATTCTATGGGCAAAATATTGAATGATGCAGAAACCATCAAAAGAAGATGAAAGGAATACACAGAGTCACTGTACCAAAAAGAAATGGTGGATATTCAACCGTTTCAAGAGGTAGCATATGAACAAGGAAGAAGTTCAAGGTGTATTGAAGGACTTGGCAAAGAACAAGTCTCTGGGAGCTGATGGAATACAAACTAAAATCTTTCAACAAACTGATGCGACACTGGAGGTATTTATGCCAAGAAATTTGGAAGACAGTTACCTGGCCAACTGATTGGAAGAGATCTAAACTTTTGCCCATTCCAAAGAGAGGTGACCCAAAAAAATTCAGAAATCATCAGACAATATCATAAATGCCACATGCAAGTAAAATTTTACTAAAGATAATTAAAAAACAACTGCAAACACTACATTGACCCAAAACTGCCTGAGGTTCAAAACTGGATCCAGAAGAGGATGTAGACGAGGGATATCATTGCTGACATCAGGTGGATCTTAGCTGAAAGCAGAGAATACCAGAAAGATGTTTACCTGTGCTTTATTGACTACGCAAAGGCTTTCAATTGTGTGGCTCATGACAAGCTATGGACAACATTGCAGAGAATGAGTATTCCGAACACTTAATTGTGCTCATAAGGAACCTGCACATAGACCAAGAGACAGTTGTTTGAACAGAACAAGGGAACACCCAACGGTTTAAAATTAGGAAAGATGTGCGCCAGAGTTTTAGTCTTTCACCATGCTTATTCAATCTGTATGCTAAGCAAATAATTTGAGAAACTGTATTATATGAAGAAGAAGGTAGCATCAGGAGTAGAGGAAGACTCATTAACAACCTACGATATGCAGATGATACAACCTTGCTTGCTGCAAGTGAACAGGACTTAAAATACTTACTGATGAAAATTAAAGACCACAGCCTTCTGATTGTGTTTCACCTCAATATAAAGAAAACAAAAATCCTCAGCACTGGGTCAATGGTGAAAAACGGAGAAAAGATTGAAGTTGTCAAATGCAGAGAGCCATCTTCACTTCCGCTGTTTGACACAGTCCCAGCGGGAGGAGAAACATCATGCAAAGCAGGTGATTCTCAGAAGCTGGCTTCTATCTCCTCCTTTGGATAACTTTGAATTCACTTGTAAAAATATATAATATTGCCATATTCACAGCCTTTTACTATGAGCTCTGCAGAATTTGGGAAGAAACAATTATTTCAGCTTCAGTGGTTTGAATCCCAAGGGAATTGTATAAGCAACTCCCCTTCACAGAAAACCTAAGTGCAAAGTAACTAAATTTATGAGACCACAAAAGCAGATAACAGTCTGAAGTAAAGCTGACCAACTCACCACAATAAATTACCAGCAAGAATTCACAAACTCCCACATTCCCTGCAGCAATTAGCCAGGTTGGGCCTTATGCCTCACAGCTTCAAATGAAAGAAATATAGGAATACTGAGGTTAAGCAATTTAATGGATACTTTAGAAAACAAAATAATTAAGTAAATGTCAGTAATAGCTTTACTGTGAAAATAGTAATACATTATGTAGGATAGAAGATTGATAATCACCTAGTAGAAACAATAAAGTAGTGCAAGCATTGATGATTTATAGAAACTTATGTTACCAAGAGAATGCGATCAGGGGTCTGATAAGTGGAAATGATTTGTGCAAGGTTTAACTTAATCTTTTAATGGAAATAAGAATAAACAATTTATCACTTATGTGGGAGAGAAGGTGAAAGTTAGTCTGAACATCACATAAATACTTTTCTTAAAGTTATCTAAACACCGAATGAAGGAATGTTGTGATTCAAACTGTAATAATTCAAGGAAAGTTCAAAGCATCAATTCATTATGTACTGTGTGATTTTGAGTATAAAAATTAAGACTTGCTGAGCGGGCCCGAGAGAGAACTCTAGCAGCCAACTAAGCAGAGACATGTCTCTCCCTTGCTCTTGCCGACTCCATGTCTCCTCTCGTGTCGCTCGACCCCGCGAGAGCTGGACTCCCGCAGTCAAAGACTTCATTTTGTTTAGATCAACCATCAACACTCATGGAAGCAGCAGTCAAGAAATCAAACAATGTATTACATTAGGCAAATCTGTTGCAAAAGACCTCTTTAAAGTGTTAAAGAGCAAAGAGGAGACAGTTTGAGGACTAAGGTGTACCTGACCCAACTCAGGGTATTTGCAATCACTTCATGTGCATATGAACGCTGGGCAATGAATAAAGAAGACTGGAGAAGAATCCATGAATTTGAATTATGGTGTTAGTAAAGACTGTTGAAAATAGTTACCATGGACTGCCAGAAGAACAAACCAATCTGTGTTAGAAGTACAACCAGAATGTTTCCTTAGAAGTGGGCATCGTGAGAGTTCATCTGTTGTACTTTGGACATGCTCTCAGGTGGGACCAGTCCTTAGAGATGGACATCATGTGAAAAAGAGGAAAACCCCCAATGAGGTGGATTGACGCTCATTGATTCAACTACAATGATTGTGAGGATGGCTTAGGACCAGGCAGCGTGTTGTTCAGTTGTGCATAGGGTCCTGAATCAGAACTGACTGATGGCAGCTAACAACAGCAACATGGCCTTCTGAGCTGACCTCTCTGCCTTGACTGTAACTGTTCAGGGAGATACCCTGGGAAGCCACTGTTTTGATTGGCTGCTTTTTTAAGGAGTCATGGCATGGCGCTATGGGTTAATGTGCAAGGGTCATTTGAACCACAAAGTCGGTGGTTCAAGCTCACCAGCTGTTCCTGGGAAACCCTATACAGAGTCACTATGATTCAGAATTGATTCCAGAGACTATTAGGCTGTGACGATAGTGTAGGACCAGCAGTGCATTGTCCTGTTGTGCATAGGATCCTTATGAGTCTTCATTGTTGTTAGACGCCCTTGAGTCAATTCCAACTCATAGCAACCCTGTATAGGGGTTTGGAGGCTTTATTTTGTTTTTGTTTTTAAAATCTTTGCAGAAGCAGAAAGCCTCATCTTTCTCCTGCAGAGCGGTTTGTGGACTTGAACTATAGACCTGGTGGTTCACAGCTGTCATAAATCAATGCCCAAGTATGAGTAAGCAGCTTGTCCCTGACCTTCAGGGGGTTAGTTAGTGAGATCCTACGTTCTTGGCAAAGAAACCCTGGTGGTGCAGTGGTTAAGTGCTTGGCTGTTAACGGAAAGATGGTTCGAACCCACCAGCCACTCATCAGGAGACAGCTACGGCTGTCTGCTTCCGTAAAGCTTTTACATCCTTGGAAACCCTATGGGGCAGTTGTACTCGGCCCTACAGGGTCCACAGTGTGTGTGTATTAAGTCAGTTCTTGGCGGGCGGCGGAGATTGAGAAGGAAGACTGCAATGTCTGAGAAGTCCAATGGTCTCTGCTGCAGGGAAAAGCCTTCCAGAGGGTGGGGTGGGTGGCGGAGTGTAGGGCTCACCTTTCCGCAGTAGAAAATGTCCTCCCTGCGCACCTTTCCTTCAGCTATCTTCTCCCGGATGGCCTCCCCCACTTCGTGCTCGTTTCTGTAGACTTGGGCGCCGTCGATGTGCCGGTAACCCACGTCAATGGCCACCTTCACTGATGCTACACAGGCGCCCTTCAGGGTCTGAAATGACAACGGAGGTGGATGCAGGACAGAAATGGGTCTTTCCTTCAGTTTACTTATTACGAATAAGGGCACCTTTCATGTACATTTGTTAATGGTGGTAGTGGTGTGCCACCCTGCATAGCATTTGCGAGGCTGTAAATCTTTACGGAGCAGAACGCCTCATCTTTCTCCAGCGAAACAGCTGGTAGTTTCCAACCCCCTTTGTATCCACAATGCTATCAGAGCTCCTTGTGTTTATTTATAGCTGCTGTTATTAACTGTGCTTGAGTCAGTCCAGACTCCACCCCATAATTAAGTTTCAGATCAAACTTGGGACCAACCGGATTTTCATGGACTGATTTTCAGAAGCAGGTTGCCACCAGAGCTTTCTTCCTAGTGTGTCTTAGTCTGGGCGCTCCACTGAAACCTCTTCAGCATCACAGCAACACACAAACCACCCCTGATAGCTGGATGTGGCTGCGTATGTCCAGAAATGAACCAAGTGCCCTGCATGTTGTTGTTATGTGCCGCGGAGTCGGTTCGGACTCATAGCGACCCTGTACAGGGTTTCCGAGGCTGTAAATCTTTACAGGAGCAGAAAGCCTCATCCTTCTCCCACGGAACAGCTGGTAGTTTCGAACTGCTGATCTTGCAGTTCGCAGCCCGATTCAGAACCACTAAGCTACCAGAGCTCCTTAAGTGCCCTGCATAGAAGGTGAGAATTCTATCACTGAACCACTGTGCACATAATCTACCACTAAGGAGCTGATTCTGACTGGATGGCATAAGCTACACACACAAAGTCAGAAATATGCTGCTTCATTGGTACTCAGAATGCATTGATAAAGGGCATAGTCTCTGGAGTCAAACTGTATGGGTTCTAGTGTAAGTTCCATCCCTTAGCTTTAAAACCTTTGTTGTGACCTGCTGTTGAGTCAGTTCCCACTCATAGCAACCCTGTATAGGGTTTCCAAGGAACAGCTTGTGGATTTGAAGTATCAACTTTACAATTAGCTGTCCAGTACTTATCCTACAGTGCCATTCCTGGACTCCTTATAACCTTGGGAAAACGAATTTAGCCACCCATGTCTTTGTAAATCTGTGGTTCAATAACTTCTATGTTAGAATGTGAGTAGACTTAAGAGAGAAAAGGTGTGTACTGTAAACCACTTACAAGAAACCCCAGTGCAGGTAAGTTTTCAGCAAATCTTAGCTCTTACTGCTTCCATGAATATTCAGTACTCTTTGGTAAACACACACATACACATCTCCTTTCATAAATACATTCACTACTGTGACAAGCTTGAACGGAGATGCCGTGGTCTCTTCTCCTGATGGGTGTCCCCGGGCCAGTGGGGCAGATGGTAGAGACACAATGATGATTCTCTAGTGTGATGCGCTCAGGGCTATATGAGCGCACAGCGGGGACAGCTGTGCACAGAGGTGAGGTGGGGGTGGAGGGTGGGTTTCTAAGAAGCGATGCCACTGACCTTATTCTTAGCAGACATTTCCAGGTTGAGCCCCATGGCTGTCTACCATTAATTCTACCACCATGGGTTTGGCTTTTCCTGGATATACCACAGATCCTGGTGCCTACAATAGCCTGCTCAGCTCCTCTTCTCAGCCTGGCCAACTCATCCTCTGCATCACGGGGCTCACTCACATCCGATCGTACACATTTCAGTAATATTTTTACACATACCACCTTTTATCCTAATCCTTAGTGTTAACTGTTGACCTACAAGAGGAACTCAAACTGATGCTCTTCATCTGCTATAGTTGTTACGTGCCGTGGAGTCAGTTCTGACCCATAGCAAACCTGTACAGGGTTTCCCAGGCTGTAAATCTTTATGGGAGCAGAAAGTCTCATCTTTCTCCCACAGAGTGGCTGGTGCATTCAAGCACTGATTTTGCAGTTAGTAGACCAGCATGTAACCTACCAGGGCTTCTCTCTCAAGAAATGTGTGTTGGTGTGTGTGTGTATTGTGTGACATCGAACAGGTTCCGACGCATAGCAACCCTGTGTAGGGTTTCCGAGGAGCAGCTGGTGGGTTGGAACTGCTGACCTTGTGGTTCGCAGTCCAGTGCTGATTCTATAGTGTCACGTTCAGAGATGTTGTTGTTGTTGTTAAGTGCCGTTGAGTCGATTCTGACCCATAGTGACCCTGTACAGGGTTTCCAAGGAGGCCATGGGGAATTTCTATCTTTCTTCTATGCAGACATTTTTATCATGAAATGGAAGGAAATCTTCATGGTCAAGCATGAAACTCCCTCAGGGAGACGCTGTTTACAATGCTCCGGAAGGTCTAGTCTTCCCTTTCAGGACTGAAAATTAGCTGCCAGAGTCAGTCTTCCCTGTTCAAGTTTTAATCCTTGGACTACATTGTCTTTATTTTGGATGCCTAACACATGACAGGTTCTCACTGTTTGCTCAGTAGTCCTAGTGGCACATTGGTTAAGCACTGGCTGCCCACAAAAGGCTAGTGGCAGATTTGTAAAGATGACAGCTTTGGAAATCCTATGGGGCCTTTGTATTCTGTCTACAGGTCATTCATTGTGAGTTAGAATCAACTCAATGGCAAACGGGAAAGTGTTTGTTTGACTAAAACAAAAAATTCTCAATTATACACTTTTGCCAGCAGCTACAAACTCACAAATTTCAAATAATCAGCATTGAACTGAATGTCAGAGGAAAACACTGAAACATTTCCTTCACTAATCCCAAACCATTTTTCAGTAGTCATGTAAGTAAGCAGGATAGAAATGTTTACTGGCTCAAGGTCTACTCAAAAAACAGCTGCCCTTCTAGAGTGGAGAGTGAAGCATCCAGCTGTATGAAGTGAGGGGGGATGCATAAGAACACCCGTACTTGCAGATAGTACCCACTTGACCTGCTTCAATGGCTGGATGATCAGAACTCTACTAGAAGAAGAAAAAAGAGAGGGAAAAGAGAAGAGTAACCCGCTACAACTTGATGAACTTTATCTCTACTGGAGTCCTGGTGTGGCGCTGTGGGTTAATGTGTCAGACTGCAAAGTTGTTTGAACTGCAAGGTCGGTGGTTCAATCTCACCAGCTGCTCCTTGGAAACCCTATCCAGGGTCGCTATGGGTTGGAACTGACTCAACAGCACTTGACAACATAGATGTAGTAGCTCAAAAGAGGGAACAAATCTTTACAGCAAGGATCACTCCCACTCCCTCGGTACACAGGGTTGACAGGGATGGGCAACACAGACATTGGCTACCCAAAATGGGGGGCCTAAAACAACAAGAAGTGACTGGATTACAAGCTTTCAAGAGGGAACCTAGTTCCAGGCAGGGTGGAGAAAGGTAGAATCACCACTGAATGATTTCCAATACATTGGAACTGGGCAGGCAAAAGGAAATGGGGATAAGACTCTTGTGGTATAATAGTGAATAATTGCCGTCAGGTCTGACTGTGAGGCTAGGAAATATAGAGGTGGATGTTTTTTTGACAAAACGAGAGGAGTGATTGATTTTTGCAGCCCAGGAGCAGAGGTCCCTGGGACCATCAAGTGAGAAGAATGGAGAACGGTACCCTACCCAGAGAGACAGTCATGCCGGGGATGGAGACGGAGAGGATGGCATGGACAGATGGAGTGGCTGGGGACACTGGACTCAGGGAGGGAGAAGGGCTGTGTGCTGGTGGCTGGGGGCGGGGGGTGAGGTGGGGTGGGCGATGGGACTGTGTGGTGTAACCTTTGGGATTATTTAATGATGCATGGAGGGGATTGTGATCTTTGCAATGAAACAAAATACGATAGGATGAGTGTAAAGTTGTTCTCCCATGTAAACCTCACAATAAACATTAATAAAAAAAAACAGAAAAAAAAAACAAAAAAAAAAACAGCTGTCCTTGGAGAGGCTGATTTGCTGACACAGACCAGGAAGACAGTGAGATAGATTCAGAGTGAAGCCCGGTGTATACATTGGACGAGAGTAAGAAATGAGAGAATAAACTTACCGACTTAGGTTCGGAGTAGGTGCCTAGGCCAATGATAGGAATGCTGTTCCCATCGCTAAGAGGTATGAGGTGGTTGGCAGCACTGAGGTTCATTCTGACACAAGAGGTAGGGATGTCTGGGAGGGATTCGGAAGACCACATAAAGCATGCTTTTGAGCAAAAACGTCCAGGGCCAGAGGGAGGGACTATTAGAGGGAGGAGTGGTTAAAAGGTCAATTTCTCAATCTCTCCATTTTCATCCCTTGAGAAATTCTAACAGAGATTAACCTTCGAACTTTATTAGAGATAAGTCAATAAAACATTCCATGAGAGTTTAGGCTTAGTTGTCTGCAAAGTAAAGACTGAAAAAACTTTGACTTGGCAACCAAATCTCACCTCTATTAGTTAGATGCATCTCTTGGTAAGTAGCACATGAGCTCACATTCTCTTAAACCATAAAGGAAATTGATTGGTTCGTATTCCTGAACACTTCCGCTAGAGCTAGCTTCAGGTGAGGCCTGATCGCTTTTCCTGGAAATGTTGAAGGAGTGGATCTGGAGTTAGAATTTCCTAGTTCAGTTTGGGAAACAGTGGACTCTAGACTTAGGTGACATCACCAGTAAACTCTGTTTCTCCTATGTGGTGGGCTTCTCCACCCACCAGTTCTCACCGAAACATGGGTCCTGCAGACCTTGGAACAACATGATTCCAGGCTCAAGTGTCTCACACACACATACACACACACACACACACACACACACATCATTATTACTCCACAACATAACTTGAAAGGTGTATTAAAAGTCATGCAGATAAAATTTTAAAACCTCTCAGATGAAGTTTTTAAAATTGTTTCAATAATCTCCCTGTGTAACTCAATTTGCCCATTAACAAAATCAGGAGGCAAAACATTCCTTTTGGTCCTCAGATTGGTAATTTTTAATTCTCTGGGTAATTTAGAATACTAGTGGTTTTCGTAGAATTTCTTTTTACAATGTGTTCATTTACAGTGCAAATTAGAAAAGAAAACTTGTGCTAATATGAAATATTTGAAACAAGAGGTTTATTTATTTATTAGAGACCATCTGAAGATCAGATTTGATGCATTAAACACTAAAGACTGAAGACCAGAAGAGTTGTGGGATGACATCAAGAACATCACACATGAAGAGAGCAAAAAGTCATTAAGAAGACAAGAAAG